CGTTTCGTCCCTAGAAGGATTTTCTCCAGCTTAAATAATATTCAGTCTTAGTTGACTTGACTCTGAGCGCTGTTTGAGCCTGCTTTTTTTTTTTTTTTTAGAAATATTACTTGAACAATCAAAACAATACGGGCATCTCGATAATGCTTCTTTAAGGTATCCCCTCGAAACGATATTACTTGATTTAAAAAAAAAAAAAAAAAAAAGAAAAAATAAACACTATTCAAAATTTAACACACAGTCGAATTTATTTATGAAACAGAAACAAACATTCTTTCCTTGATAACAATCCCAAACTAAGTGGCTATCAAAAATACGCGCACACTCATAAATACACTCGCCCACTCACTCACACGCACACACACACATACACACTAATACAGCAATTTACCCTAGTTAAAAATTAATATAGTAAATAAACTTCAAATAAGTAGAAAAATTTATAACTGCAATTTATATAGATTTACCAACATTTTTTTTATGTAAATATGCAAGTTGCTTTTCTAAAAATGTAACTTTTATAGTAAATTGACTTATTATTTGGAACGTTTATAGAAATGGACATGTCTTTGATGAAGAGAAACTTCATACCTTTAGTAAATGTCATTAGTTGCAACTGGCATAAGAAAAGAAAGTAGAGTTGTATTGACTTAGAGGCGTTGGCATGTAGTTTCCTTTATCGGTGAATCTTTTTAGATATGATAGCTTCGCATCCTTATTTGGTTAAATGGAGTCGGTTGGGGTAGATTTGTATCTATGAGATAACATTTTAAGTTGACTGACCACGACCTATTGCAAAATATAATTTACCTGTTCTCAAGAGAGACAAACACGGTGTTTTTTTTTTTTTTTTTAATTAACTCAGGCCAACAGTGATTGCCTGTTGGTTTGTTTTCTACTATGTCCGCACATTTATCTAAATTTTATTTCTACCGTTTTGATACAAACTCAGCTATTCGAGTTGCTAATGTACTTTATATTTTTTGTTTTCTAATTTTACACGCACATATACAATATATATAGGGTGCATTTTGGCAGCAAATTTTAATTTATACAAGTTTGTTTAAAGATCAAGGAAAGGTCTTTGTTCAATAAGTTTTTCTACATTCTTTTATAGTTCGGACCCTTTTTCTAGTTTCTGAGGAATACATATATTTCATCTAAAATATGACAAGATAAATTTTAATAGATAACAATAAAATATTATACAGGACTCATTGCAAAGAAAAAGTGAACATTCTAGAAGGCATTATAATACAAAAAACAAACAACATTAAATAAAATATAAAATCTTCTTTCATAGGATTTTTTTTAAGGATATTGAAGGATGTATAGAAAAGGTAAAAAGAAAAGAAAAAAAGAGCATATATAAATTCAGTTTTGAATGTTGCAGACGACCACACTTAACTGACTTAAATTCTAATTCCAACTTTTCCAAATTTTCTAAACATGCCAACTCTTGATAACGATTGTAGTTTATATATATATATATATATATGTAAAAGTAAATATGTTAATATATATATGTAAACACACACATGTATATATATACATAAACATATTTACTTTTACATGTATATATGTATATATATACGTATAAAAGTAAATACGTTATATATTTATATATATGTAAACACACACACATATATATATGTATCCTGTAAGTAATTAAGTAAATCATAATAATAATTCAATAATTCAAATTTGGTTTGAAAAAATGTCAAATCAATTTAGATGTCAAAACAAAGCTAAAATTTGAGGTAGTATTTATATGATTTATTGAAGTTATTTGATATATTCTAAAAAAAAAACTGCCGTCTGAAGTTATTAGGCAAAACTAACTAATTACATTTTACTTCAATAAAAAGGTAATAAAATCGTCAAAAATTAATCAACACCTATAATAGAACAAATAACAAACACATATGATTTCTTTATATTTTAATATGGCGAACCTTCTTCTCAATAACAGTCAGTAATCCGTTGATTTTGTTAAATTTTACTTTAGCAGGTCCAGTTTCCGTCATGGTAGTTTTAATTTCTTTCTATAGGTTTGCTTTGCTATTATATTGTTTGCCACCTTCATATAATTTCATCTTCACAATTGATCATAGATTTTTGATTGGATTCAAATCAGGATTTGATGGTGGCTGTTCCATTATTTTCTCTTCTGTAAATCTTTTAAGCTCATATTATTCGCAGGTAAGCTTACATACATGAGAAGGAGCATTGTCGTACATAAATACACACTTCACTTTGAAACTGCAAGACTAGGAAAAGAAAGTCTTGTTTATAAAATCGCAATAGTTCAGTTTAACTCCTTCATCAACTTTGAATGGCCAATAATGGTTTCGTCGACATTTTCAGCCCACATCATAACTCTACCATTTCCATGTTGCCTTCTTTTAACCACAAACACGTCTGAATTGGATAAAATCCATCCTTTAGCTCATCCATCAGGTCCATCAAATATCACTCGAGATTCATCCGTAAAAATTACTCTAGAAAATCAATTTTCATGTATTTCTTGGCCCAAATTTGATGCCTTAAAATATTTGTTTTAGTGAGAGGAGGTTGCCTAGGAGATTTTTTTACAGGTCCCAGTTTACAAAGTATTCTACACATTTTGTCTTTCTTGACTCCCTCAATTCCAGCCTTTTCAAAGATCTGAGCGCTGGTCAAAAGTGGTTATTTCTCTATAACTCGATTTAGTTTACGTTCATCTCGATGAAGCAGATTCTTAAAGCCTATTCCTTTGCTTGGAGTTCTCAACTTACTTATATTTTCAACAGCCTTCTTTATTGTTTGATGATCTCTGCAAAGTTCCTTTGATATCTCCAATGCGGACTTTCCCTCACTCAATAACTTTGTTATTTTCTGTTTTTCAGTAGTTGTTAGATCCTTCTCTTTACTTATATTTCAAGATATATTATGGAGAAAAGGAAAAATAGTTTTTTATTAGATTTCAGACGTCTTAAGCTAATATTCGTTTAATCTGCGTAACAACTTCAGTCAGTCCATTTTTGCAAGTTCTAAATATCTCACAAAGTTACCATTAAAAATGGTATAAAATTTAATTAAATATTTTACTAAGAATGGAAATGGGCGAGTTTAAATTTGATAGATATTGGTTCAGAACTTTTTGAGTTATTGAGGATTATTTGATTTGCATAATAAATCCAGACAGGCTGCATATATTTACATGTATATATATTTACACATACACACGCAGACATATGTATATATATATACATAGGATTAATATGAGTAAAAGTTTATCGCTTAACTGATTGATGTTACCTTCAGCAAGCCGACTCACGATCTTGTCCACCCACTCTTCAGTGGGTATCAGAGATTTACTAATATATATGTATATGTATGTATTTACAAGTATGGAGATATATATGTATATATGTGTGTGTTTCAGTGTATATATATATATTTATATTTACTTATATATATATATAACTTGACCTGGCGATTCCTGTTTACAGCCTGAAAATTGAGTTGATAATGTAATATTCTTCATTTTTATTTAATATCGTACATTTTTACTGCATATTTTGGAAAGTAGTTAGTTTTAGGCTATATATATATATATATATATATATATATATATATATGAAAACATTTTTCCCAAAAAATTCTTTTTCAGAATAATATCCTTTCTTGTCAATGCACTTAATTCGCTGGTGAATATTAATTGCATAAATCGAACATTATTTAGATTCAAGATCAAAATTTAAGCTAACAGCTGCGCGTCAATCTACGTGCTTATCGATTCTCCCTCGTATATACGAAAATAATCTCGGCATTCATTTTAAAACTATTATTATTTTTTTGTTCTTTTCTTTATCCTATGTACAATTTCCGCACAACAATTCCATATAAAAACTTTCAGCTTAGAATATAAGAAAGATAAAGATTTTTTTAAGTCAAGAAAAGATAAATATTTTCTTTTTTTTTCTTTTACCTGATGGGTTACATGATAAAAATATTTTTGACTCTCCCTATCTCTCTCTCTCTCTCCCCATCTCTTTCTCTCTCTCTCAATCTCTCAGCTATTAAATTGGTTTTCTAGATTAGCGCACCAAAATATACGAAAGGAAGTGTGAGGTATTTCCTCCAGCTGGAGGTGATAAGATATATACGCATATTTCGTTTTGCGTTTCTTGATGATGATGTGGATCATGATGATGATGTGAAGTGTTTTTTTTTTCTTTTTGTCAGTTGCCGTTCTTCGCATTTGTCGGAGATATTTTTATTTTTACCAATTATCAACATTCAATAATGTGTGGAATGAACTCCCAACAAGACATTCCATTCACATACCACGACCATGTTGTTGTTGTTGTTGTTCCTAACGAGACATTAAAGAACTATCGATTATTATTATCTACACAGTCATAACATGGTCGTTGTTTTGAAGAAAAAGAATTTGTTTAGCGCTCAACAAAATTAATCTTTAAAACAATATGTATATTTTTTAGTAAGGATACTTTTTTTTTTTTTTTTTTTCGTTTAGAGATAATCTATCTTTGATGAACTGCCTTCTGCGTCTGGTAGGAAAAACTTTTTAAGGAATCAAATTTAGGTTTACAATACTGTGAATATTTAACGTAATATAAATAATAAGTTGCACTTTCATGAGTGATCACAGTTGTAATAAAAACAAAAAAAAAAAAAAGAAAATGCAATAAGAAACGTTAATTTATTTTGTCACATTTTATTTATTTTGTGTAGGGTATTAATAGTTTTATCTACGTTTCATTTTATATTCTATTTTGTGTTGGTTTAACTTAAGGGCATTCTAAATACATGTTACAGCACGTAAATTATTGGTCTACTTTATTAATAAAAAGTTTGTATTTGTGTCCAAGAAACTTTTTTTTTAAATTAAAATTTCTATTTATTCATTAATTTTTTAATTTTTTTTGTATTGGTTGATAGCCAAGATATATCAAATCAGTTCAACTGAGGAGAACATTACAAAAGAAATATTAGAATGCTTTAAGAATGGAAGCGACCACTTTCTCAAGACATGAGTCATAACTGTCGATGAAGAGAATTGGTAGCAAAGAGAGAGAGAGAGAGAGAGAGTAAGAAAGAAAAAGTAAAGAGATAGAGAAAGAGAAAGTGAGAGTGAACAGTAAAGAGATGGAGAAAGAAAAGGTGAGTGAGAGAGAAAGAAAGAGAGAGTAGTAGAGAGAGAAAGAGAGATAGATAGAAAGACGAGACACTGTTTTAAGGAGTAATGTTAGGGAGAGGAGAGTAGTAGTTTCAGCCTGCCAGGGGACGTCACGTATTCCCCTCCTCTTTTTCCTCTCCCTCCCCCTTCTTCTTCGACGTCACTGCTACGATAGTCTTCGTAACATTTCATATTAAATAACCAGACTCCACCCAGACACACATCAATTCTCTCTGATTCCGGGCTGTGGCCGGCAAACAACGCAATGGGACAGGGAATGGTTAACGAAGATGACAAGTCTGTTGGTAGTGGTGGTGATGTACGCAATATAAAATGGAGTGAATTAGGAAAACTGAAAGAGTTGCACCTAAAGATGACATCGACGAAGATGCTGCTGCTGCTGATGATGATGATGATGCTGGGAGTGATAACTATGGGGATGGTAATGGTGGTAGGGGTGACGCCGGATATGGATGAGCCATAATGGAAGAAAGGAAACAAGAAGGGTTGGCGAAGGGAGAAATTGGACTGGACAATGTACTGAATATTTGTAGATTTCGACCGCTTCGATGAACGAACGAACAAATGAGTGAATTCTGTGCGGCCCACTGGTCACGTTTGGCTTTATTTTCTCATAAAAATATGAACTCAGGTTAAAAAAAAAATTCCATTATGATTTAAAAAATATATGAAACTTGGATGAACTAATTAATAATATAGTTCACTTTTTTTGTGAATTAGACAACGGACGTCCTTATGAAAAAAAGAAAATTGTTAATTAAATTCATTTTAATTATAATTTACTCAAATTGTAGATTTATTAGTAAATAAATCATTTAGTAAAATGGATAAAAAACAACAACAACAAAAAAACGGATAACTTTTCCTTCATTTTAAAACTTTAAAACATTTTCTTTTAGTCACCAGATCATTAAAATTTAAATAAGTTATTTAATCGTAATCTTAAATTTAGGTACAATATTTTTTTCCTTAATGAGTAACTTAAGATTTTTTCTAATACCCTAGTTGCTTGAATATAGGTACCTTAATAAATAAATAAAGCGAAACCTAACTTTATAATGAATTTTTAAAAAAATGAAAAATCTTCTTGAAGCTTTAATATCATTTTTAATTTCCAATCTAACAGATTAAATTTAATATTCCAATTAAGCAAAATATTTTGCTGTATTTCGAATCAAATTTAAACTGATTGGAATCTTTTTTCTCTCCTTATCAGTAAAATAAATTACTCCATGTTGATAGATCTTAAACTATAATTCTCTTTATAAAAAATTAAAAATAAAATAAAATATACTTATCTGAACGTTATTTAGGTGATTTAAATTTTAATTAATCTGAATTGAAACTGTATTACTTACTTTTAGTTTAAGATATCACAGGAAAACATTTTTTAAGGCAGAGGGGTGTTTTCGACAGGTTGAGTGATTTATTGACAGCCTGATATCTTAAAAGTGCATAATACAAAAAAATAGCTGACGAATAAAGCGTTATATATATATATATATATATATATATATAATTTATTCGAAAATTATAACATGAAAATAAAAACCACTACAAATTATTTTTGTTTCAACACTTCGTGTCTTGTCAAGTGATGTTGAATGTAAAATATTTAACATCACTTGAGCAGACACCAGAAGTGTTGAAACAAAATGGCTATTTTGTAGTGATTTTATAAATTTTATGTTATAAATTTCGAATAAATGATTATATTTGATCTACTCTGTATTGAGCACTCTTTTAAGAATAGTATTTCTTGGTTATTGAATTATATATATATATATATATAATATATATATATATATATATATATATATATATATATATATACATACATAAAAATTGAATTTATGCATTTTATATATATATATATATAAAATGCATGTATTCAGTTAAAAAAAATTCAACCCTGATAATGGGTAAAAGTATAACTGAAAGCGTTTGAAAACATTCGGACAATTTTTCGATATAATTTATGTCCTGAAAAGAAAAAATATATATAAAAAAAAATGAGAAATTATATAAAAAAAACTCAACCAACACACCTTGCCAGTCGTTTTCAACAAAACTTGCATAAAAAGGGATTGCTGCCCAAATACACAATGATTATTTGTGTATATATATATATATATATATATATATATATATATATATATATATATGCGGTGCCTATTTTAAATTGCTCAATATCTGTGATAGAGCTAACATATTCAGTTGTATGGATATGAGTTTGTGATCCTGGGTTTTACGCTCTTGAGATCATCAGACAATTATATATATATATATGTATATATATATATTTAACAACCCAGTGATCTTAAAAATTTTAAATATTTTAAGCATTCTAATATTTAATTTAGATGCTTTGTTCAAAGACCCTTGTTTATTACAAAATATAGTTTTTACTTAGTAACTATATCACCTAACCACTACAAATTAATATGAAATTTTTAAATATTTATAACTTTATAAATTATTATAATTAGAATGTAAAAAAAAAGGAAAACAATTCTTGTAAAATTTCATTATTCATCGAAAAAACTTTTTTTTTCTTAAGACAATAGTGTCTATAATATATTTTGGTCATTTAAAAGCTTTTCTAATTAAACAATGTTTTAGCTTTATTGCATTTTTCTTATTTTACGATCCAGAGTAAATTTTCTGTAATAGGGGATCCTGCTTAAAAAAATGATTTAAATTCACCAAGGACTTGTCCTTATAACAAATATAAACATTAATTGATACAAAAATAGTTACTTGAAATTTCCTATAAAATTAAATGAGTGTGGGGAATTAAAAAATTTTTTACAAAGTTTTTCTAAAAAAGGAAACTTTTCAAAAATAATTTCATTTCTGAATCAGTTCTGGAACTTTTATTAAAATTTGATTTTTGCAAGAATTTTCAAATCAATGTGTTTTTTTTTTCACTGCAAAAGACGCTCAAAAATGTATCCCCTTTTTTAATTATTTCTTGTAGATACCTTCTTAAATAGATATTTAGATATTTTTTTGTATACTTACGTCTAAATAAATAGAAACGTACAATATTTCATTTCAATATAACTAAACTAGTAGAACAGGTAGAATTCTTGATTACTGTATTTAATAACTTTAATTTTAGTTTTTTCTTTTTTCTTCGTTTACTTCTTTTTTGCGTTACTTAAGCATTAATGACAATAGTATAGTTGCTTAAGATTTACTAAAATTTTAGTACAGTTGTTTATAAAAAAAAACCATGTGGTTTAAAAATAGCAAAGTTTCTGTTTAGTAGCTGACATTTTTAAATACAGTAAAACCTGTCAAACTTACGCACCCTCAAAGTTACGTTCTGTCAAACTTACTTGAATTTTGAGGGCCTTGTTGGATTTACTAAAAAAAACCTGTCAGACTTACCATTTGTCAAACTTACGTAAAATCTTTTGGAAAAAAAAATCATGCCATTCTTCAAAAAAGCAACTTATGATCGAAAAAAGCCAACTATACTGACAATTGAACAAAAAGCAGAGATAGTGGACTATAAAAACAAACATCCGGGGGAAAAGGCGGCTAAAATCGCCCTGTTTTTCTCTAAAAAGTTCAAAGTTAAGATTGACGGAAGATCTGTCCAAAATTATATAAATTCTAAGAGTAAAATCAAAAGTGAGAGTCATACATTGCCAAAAAATAAATCGAACAGGCCCGTAAAATATAAAATTATTGATGACGCTTTATCAAGTTATATTTCATGAATAAACTCAAAAAGGGGGTTTTATTGATGATTTTACAATAATCACACAATCAAAGAAGATTGCACAAGATAATGGAATAGAAGATTTTAAAGCCTCAAATGGTTGGCTCCAGAGCTTTAAAAAAGGCACAAACTGTCTCTCAAACCTCTACATGGAGAAACATACTGTGAGGAACCAAAAACCACGATGAATTTCTTAGCCAAATTGACGAAAAAATCCGCATCTATGGTGAGGAAAATTTCTTTAATATGGATGAAACCGGATTATTTTATAAATTGATTCCATCTAAATCAGTTTGCCAAACAGCACGAAGAGGATATAAAATTTTAAAGATAGAGTTTCCATAATGCTCTGTTCGAATATGACAGGATCCATCAAACATAAGCCGACGCTGATCGGTAAAACTAAGAAACCAAGATGTTTTAAAAATTTTACAGGGATAAACTTAGTAAATTATGTTTGTTCAAAAGAGCGTGGATGGCGTCTACTATCTTTTCTGATTGGCTAGATCAATGGAATCAAGATCTTGTTCGTTTCAACAGAAAAGTTGTACTTTTTGCTTGACAATTGTCCAGCCATAAAAATCTCTAAAAATTATTCTAATATTGAGCTTGTTTTTCTCCCAAGAAATAGTACTGGTGACTTACAACCTATGGATATAGGAATTATTAAGTCCTTCAAAAAGCCATTTCAATCGAATTAAATTTGATAAAATCCTGGAAATGATTGAAGGTGATGATAGTGTTTATGAGAGCTATAAAAAATAAATCTTGCTGATGTGATCACTTTACGGATATGGCATGGGAAAAGTGAGTAAAAAAGTGATAAAGAATTGTTTTAAACACCTCAAGGGAGAAAAAAATACTGACACCGATTTTAATGTCAATATCGACGAAGAACACCTCGAAGACTACTCAAATTACGCAAGGTTTATCGAAAAAGGGAAAATATTAGATGGGTTAGATTTAAAGGGCTTCAATTCAATAGAGTACACCGAAAACGATGAAATTGAACAGGAAGTTTATAAGATAGAAAACTCGAAAAATATCGACAATATTGGGAGTAATGAGTTAAAAGAAGAGATTAAAGAAACTAAAACACCTATAATAACACACAAAAAGTCTTTAGAAGTTATAGAAGAACTTTTATTATACATTTCACAGCGTGAAATGACACCGGATGACTATAGTTTCAAGAAGAAAGCAAGTATTAAGAAAGAAAAAGTTGTCCGAGTACAGAAAACTTTATTTGATTTGGATTTTAAGCGTGTCTAGGGGTTATTAGGTGAATTTTTCTAAAAAAAATTTTTCTCTGTCAAACTTACCAATACTGTCAAACTTACCAACTTTTTTGTGGTCCCAACTTTGGTAAGTTTGACAGGTTTTACTGTACATGTTTATTTTTCACTTGCCTCAGTGGGCAGAGTTTTGGTCCAGTATGAAAATTTTTTAGAAAATTAGCGTTGAGCTATGAAATGCTTTTATTTAGTCATAGAATAATTAATAAATGTTGAATGAACTTGTCTGTGATAAAAATAATGTGAAGCTGTGGGGAAAAGTTACTGTAAAATTTACTTTAATCTTTCTGCAAAAAAACAAAAACAAAAAACAAAAACGAAACCTTTAAAAAGAATAGAATGAGAAAATAATTGAATTACTTAAAACGCTTAATTATAAAAACGAATGTATGAATACTATGTTGAACGAATAACTATTTTTATTTCACCATTGAACCGCTGTACAATATACTACAGAGAAAATGATGACATTTATTTGGCATTGCTTGATGTTTAAGGGTTGGAATTTGAACCAACCATCTTAACGTTTTTTTGAATAAACCGATGGTTTTAAAGAGATTGTCAGATAGGGATGGACGATCCTGAAAACTAAACTGGGATTCTTTTGAAGTTGAAGCAAAATCAAAAACAAATGTAATTTAATTTTAATTTTTTTTTCTTTTGCATAACGTACCTTTTTGTTGTCATTCGAACGATCAACACTATAAAGGTGGAGTTTTGCCACAAAAATCCTAAATTTTAATTTTATTTATAAAAATTAGGTATAGAACCACTATTTTGCGGAACAAAGATGCTTCTCCGATATCTAAAACCTTAACTCCCTCAACTCTAGGGTAAACCATTATATACCGTACATAGCCACATAATCTGCAATCACTTCCTCCTCTTACGTCTATACAAAAACTTCATTCAATAGACTTCTATCTTGAGTGGCTCTTAGGCTTTGTACTAGATGAACATTTATTTAAAAAATAAAATAAAATATTAATCAACAGCGTTTTTATGGCTATTCACATTTCCCTTGATTTTCGATGATTCTTCTTTTCAATTTTATTTCTTAAAATACAAAACTAAATTGCTACAGTTTTGCTTCACTGTTATTCCTCGAGCGTTAAAATATAGATAATAATAATAATAATAGTAATAATAATAATTGTGGAAATTGAAAATAAGAATAGTACCAGTCATAGTAGGTGCCCTTGGAATGATAAAAAAAGGAACACAACACACTGAAAAAAATCCCTGGAAATCCCAGCTTAAGAGAAAATAAAAAAGAATTGTCTTGATAAGTACAGCCCACAAACTAAGAAGAACTTATCCATGTAACGCTAATGACGTTATGGGAGATAGAAAAACAAATGATGAAATGTAGCCATAACAACACACCAGCAGACGTGGTAGGTTTTGTGACCATAACAGAAATCGAAATTTGACTGTCCATTCCTGACACCAAAGTGCCATATTCATTTGAATGTATATCTTATATTATAGTATGCTACATGCTGAAAAATGGTATGAACATCACCGTGAAGAAGTTATAGAAGGTCATACAAAAGACATAAACGCCAAGACATAGCAATTAAAAACTACAAACAAAAAGTTGCCTTCTCGTAGATAAATATATATATATATATATTAAATAATCAAAATCAGTAACTTGAAAGATCTTGGAATGGAATTTTTAAAAAAATGTGGCGCATTATAGATATAACAGTATTAAACCAATAATAATTGGAACCCGAGATACAATCAAGAAATGTACAGAAATGAGCACTATCAAGTAGTAAATAGAAGGATTATTATTAATAATAATAATAATAATGTATGAACACCACCCAAACCAGGTTACAGACATAGGACCTGTAACAGTTTTATGGGACGTTAAAATACACACAAACAGAACAATCAAAGCTAATTGCCCAGACATCTCGATCATAGACCACAAAAACAGAATATGCTTCTTTATTGACATGGCAGTTCCTGCAGACTGTAACCTACCATTAAAGATCTTCAAAATAACTATCAAAGTACAAGGGCTTTGAAATCGAAATCTCAAAAATGTGGCACATAAGAACATCAACAACTCCAGTTGTAGTTGGAGCCCTTGGATTGATTGAAAAAGATCCCAATAGAGTGATTGAAGGGATTCCTGGTAGCCCATGCCTTAAAGAAATACAAAAAATTGTACTCACAAGTACAGATCACACGTTACAAAGGGCTTTATCTATGTGTGTGATCTTAGAGTTTTTTATTTGTTTGTTTTTTCCAAAAAGGGTGAGTGGAAAATGTTATGATGTCATTTCTGACGTCAGGTTTGTGGTTGAGATGCGGAAATAAATGAGTATACAGCCGAAATCAAAGGAAATAAACTACTACTAATACTACTAATAATAATATTTTTATGGATTTACACACAGACTGTAATGTATCTTTGAAGACCTTCAAAAAATATCAAAATACAAGGATCTTGAAGTTGAATTCTAAAAATGTGGCACATGAGGACATCAACAATTCCAGTTGTAGTTGGAGCCCTCGGTTTGATTGGAAAAGGTTCCTAGAGACTCATTGAAGGGATTCCTGGTAGCCCATGCTTTAAAGAAATATAAAAAATTGTACTCACAAGTACAGCTGACATATTATTAAGAGCTTTATCTATGTAAAATGTGTTTTTATTTTCATTTTTATTTTTATTTTTTTTACTATAAATTACCAGTGGAAGATGTCATAAAACCATTTCTGACCTTAGGTTTCTGGTTGGGACCCGGAAGGAAATGTGTATATAACAGAAATCAAAGTAAATAATAATAATAACGATGATCAGTGGTTGCAAATTGCTAGCTTGATAAGGTTTGCCTTTAAATATTTTGGTTATTGTGTCGAAAGTATGTACCAAGAAAAAAAAATGTTATGAGTATGTGCCTTGCAGAACAATTGAAGAAGATGGAAAGTTCACAATATTCTGAGACGATGATTTTCAGACAGAGTGATACACTCTCGCCGTCCGGATATCATTGTACTCGATAAAGGCGTCAATAACTGCCATATTATTAACGATCTCATACCAAATGACACAAATATAGTAAACAAAGGGATTGAGAATATTACAAACTACTCTGATCTGAAAGTTGAGATGGTAAGATTGTTCGGAATGCGACAGAAGGGAATGTCAAGGTGATTCCAGTGGTGAGTGGCACATTGGGATTAATCCCATTAAAACTGTATGACTTCCTTGACCAGCTGGGGATGCCGTATCAACGTGGAGTCATCGGCTCTTTTGGGTACTGCGCATATTTTGAGGAGAGTGTTGTCTGTCTGAGCTCAATGTTGTGACTTGACAGATAGCTTAATATATCTCGTGAATTCAAAAACTTACACTGTGCGACAAAACAACAACAACAACAATAATAATAATTCGTTAGTTATACCAGTTGTAAATTATAATTCTAACATTATCAAATGGAATATAATTTAAATAAAGAAAATTAATTACAAATTAAGAAAATTACTGACTTGATATAAGAGGTAGCCTCCCAAAGCAGATGCTGACCGTCTTTATATTGCCTGACGTATTTTTTAAATCAATTCACCCCAAATAAGGCGTTAATGCCGCTAAGACTTACCGAGCTACTGGGAGTGAAAAAGAATGAAAAATTTTTTTTAGAAGGAACTGGAAGCCCAATCCTAAGCAGGAAACAAAGTATAAAATTCTACTCCCGTTCAAAAGACAGGGGAAAAGTGTGAACCGGGCGATAGGTACCATCAAGGCTGAGGGCACCATCAAGACCGAGGGTACCATCAAGGTTGAGGGCACCATCAAGACCGAGGGTACCATCAAGGCTGAGGGTAACATCAAGACCGAGGGTACCATCAAGGCTGAGGGTACCTCAAGACCGAGGGTACCATCAAGGCTGAGCGCACCATCAAGACCGAGGGTACCATCAAGGCTGAGGGTAACATCAAGACCGAGGGTACCATCAAGGCTGAGGGCAACATCAAGACCGAGGGTACCATCAAGGCTGAGGGCACCATCAAGACCGAGGGTACCATCAAGGCTGAGGGCACCATCAAGACCGAGGGTACCATCAAGGTTGAGGGCACCATCAAGACCGAGGGTACCATCAAGGCTGAGGGTAACATCAAGACCGAGGGTACCATCAAGGCTGAGGGTACCATCAAGACCGAGGGTACCATCAAGGCTGAGGGCACCATCAAGACCGAGGGTACCATCAAGGTTGAGGGCACCATCAAGACCGAGGGTACCATCAAGGCTGAGGGCACCATCAAGACCGAGGGTACCATCAAGGCTGAGGGCACTATCAAGACCGAGGGTACCATCATGCCTCCGTGTCATGTAAAGAAGATAGGTGTAAAAAGTGCCATGAAAAGATTTGCAGATCTAAAGGTTAGAAAAATGTTTTAATGAATGTTTTTAGCTTGTATTAAGTTGTAATAAACACGTTATTCTACATTTTCAGTTTTTCTCTTTGTGAAAATTAAAAAAAGAATATACTTGTAAGGGTGACGAACTTCAGTTCGCCCACTGTGTCAGCAACCCTAGAGCCGTCACTGCTGGTAGGTCCACCTTACAAGAGATATTTTTTTATAAAATTGCTATTTACAAGATCACTTTCTATTGACAGAATAGCCAAAGAATTTAATCTGTCTTGAGTCATGGACGATCACAAGTATATTTTTATAAGATTGCGTTTTGATAGATCCCAAACACATGACACGGCAGATTGGTGGTGCCCTCGGCTTTGATTTGCATGTACAGTGTTTATATTTTCGTTACATTGAAGAGTATCATCAGTGTAACGAAAATATAAACACTGTACATATTAAGTATCATTAATATCATAATATCTACAGACAGAATGAATATATTTTACTATCTTGCATGACCCCATAAGAGATTGTATAGAACAGAACGTATAGTAATAATAATAATAATAATAATTATTATTATTATTATTTATTATTATTATTATAGACCCAAACTGTAGGTTAATGTGATCAATATATTGAAATTATTGATCTCATCTGAGGATGCTCAATACTCGCACCCAAATTCTATCATGACGAAGATCTCTCATCACTATTGGTTAAAACAGCTGCAAAATGTGGACATCATCCTGAATCTGTAGTTGAGGGGACAGATGCTACCATTCTCTGGGATTTTTCTATCAATACAGATCGAACAATACAAGCAAATCGCCGAGACGATATTATCAAAGACAGAAAAGAAAAAGCTTGCACACTGATTGACATGAGCGTACCAAGAAGCAAAAACATCTCTACAAAGTTTTTTGAAAAACTAAGCAAATACAAAAGACTAGAGGTGGAAATAGAAAAATGTGGTACTTAAAAACTATAACTGTCCCTGATGTGATTGGAGGTTTGGGTCTGATAAAGAAAGGAACTCAACAACAAATCAACAAAAAAGTTCTATACTGCGAAGTGTTTGTTTAAGTTTTTTTTTCTTTTGTTAATAGCCGCCAAATGTAAGGGTTGCAATTAGAATCAACTGGCTTAACACCTTTTTGAATTCATCGAAGATTTTAAAGAGATTGCCTGATAGGGCTGGATAATCCAGAAGACTAAACTGCAATTCTTTTAAGAATTGAAGCTAAAAATATTGTAAGTGAAAACAACAAAAACATCACATCCTTCGCTTACCCCAGTGTCATTAGTTATGACCCGGCATATGATTATTAAACAAATGCAAGTGAAAAAGATTTTTTAACAACAACAACAACAATAATAATAATAATAATAATATGCCTGGAACAGCCTTATCAACCGGGTGCCATGTCAAGTCACAACATTGAACTCAAACAGACAACACTCTCCTCAAAATATGCGCAGTACCCAAAAGAGCCAATGACTCCACGTTGATACGGCATCCCCAGCTGGTCAAGGAAGTCATGCAGTTTTAATGGGATTAATCCCAATGTGCCACTCACCACTGGAATCACCTTGACATTCCCTTCTGTCGCATTCCGAACAATCTTACTTTCAGATCAGAGTAGTTTGTAATATTCTCAATCCATTTGTTTATTATATTTGTGTCATTTGGTATGAGATCGTTAATAATATGGCAGTTATTGGCACTCTTATATTTAGATATCAGAATCATTGTACATTTAAAATTTTTTGTTAGTCGCTGTCATTTTTTTTAATTAAGCAGAAACAACAAAGGAATCGCATCCTTCGCTTACCCCAGGGTCAAAGGTTATGACCCGGCATATGATTATTAAACAAATGCATGTGAAAAAGAGATTTTTAATAATAATAATAATAATAATAATAAGTGCCTCTTTATTGATATGGCAGTCCCTGCTGACTGCAATGAAACTGGTATGAACATCACCCAGACCCGGTTACGGAGATAGGACCTGTTACAATTCTATGGGACTACACAATACACACTGATAGAACAATCAAAGCCAACCGCCCAGATATTGTTATTAAAGACCACAAACAAAAACAGTGCCTCCTTATTGATATGACAGTCCCTGCAGACTGCAATGTAACTTTGAAGATATTCAAAAAGTTGTCAAAATACAAGGACCTTGAAATAGAAATCTCGAAAATGTGGCATATGGAAACATCAACAACCCCTGTTGTAGTTGGAGCCCTAGGATTGGTTGGAAAAGATTCCGGTAGACTAATTGAAGGGATTCCTGGAAGTCCATGCCTCAAAGAGATACAAAAAATTGTTCTGACAAGTACAGCCCACACTTTACGAAGGGCTTTATCTATGTAATTTTTTTTTTTTTTTTTTGTCAGTGGAAAAGTCATGATGCCATTTTAACCTTAGGTCCCTGAACGGGACCCGGAAAGAAATGTAAACGCCAGAAATCAAAGAAAATAATAATAATAATAATAATTATTATTATTATTATTATTGTTGTTGTTGCTAATATTTTGTACAAATGCAGAGAAAAATAGTGACCATTTAATATCTAATGAATTTAAATAAATTGAAATATAGACATGGTAGCGTTGAGAATTACTTGCATTAGAAAATATGACAACATTATAAGTAAAATGGTATGAACACAACCCATCGCCAGTGATAGATGGTGAAAATACCACACTGCTCTGGGACTTTACCATATGTACAACCAGTAGTGTGGGGAGAAGGAAGAGGGCGCGACGGCCCGGGCATCCATATCGGGAGGGCATCTAATCAAAGAGTGAAATAAAAAAATTAGTTTATATTTAATTAGAATAGAGTGTTTATTTCATGTTTCATCTTTTTTTACATATTCAAAATGTCTTTTTCAAATTTTTCAGTACTATGCTCCCTACTCGAGTCATTGACAAACTTGCAAAATAAAGCCCTGAAAATAGAAATTACAAGAATTGGGCATTTAAACACCACCGCGATTCCAGTAATAATATGAACACTAGGAATGATTAAAAGTACTGATGCATACATTAAGAGAATCCTAAGAAACCCATCATTATCTGGGAAATAAAAGTGTGTACGCATGCGTAGTGCTCACATACTCAGAGAAACTCTCTCAATGCAATATATCCAATACCATTCTGTTGTGGATTCCGAGATGAAATTCAGTCTCCAATGAATGACAAACGCAAGAATTAAAGAAATTAAATGTATTTACACAATAATACAATGGGTAATTGTTAGTAAATCCAGGAACGCGGTTAGTCGTAATAATAATATATTATATATACAGTCTCGAAGTAGGACTTCCTTAGAGTCTACGTGCTTGTAACTGACTTCTACAAACGGTTACCTCACACTATTACTCTACCTCCAACTCAATCACAATCTCTGCTCACTATCTCAATCTCTATCAATCTCCCTATCTGTCTCCGTATATTCGTACTGACTCAGGGTATTTAACGGCAGCAGTCCCAGTAACACTTTGGTCGAGTCCACTTATATGAAAAATGGGAGGAGCCCATAACACATTCTAAGGTAAAAGCTTCTTTAACCTCATGTTTTAGGCGGGAAATACTTTATATATTTTATCAAACAGTAAATCAGGTTGTGATGGTTTATGACTCGGAATGAGAAATCGGAAAACCGAGTTCCAATTCCAATCGAGTTTGTTGCATTCACTTGCGCGTAAATACCCATAAGGGGAAACTATGAAACGTATGAAAGTATCCCCACCCCAGGTATAGGTTGAATAGCAGGACAGACTGAGTCCTATAGCATTGTTTAGCAATCACGGTACCGTAGAAAGAGACGGCAACCAAGGGCGGGAAAATCTTCTGCTTAGTCAGTCATGAATCGAAAGAGACATGATCGCCCAAGCGTGTATCGCGTATGGCTCTTAGCTGACTGAAGTGAAACCAGGAAAATAGAGATAAAAATGATGATGATGATGACGATGATGATGATGATGATGATGATGGTTTATGCCCTGATGCTACACGAGACTCGCTTCTCAGCGATTCTGGTCAGGTTTTAATTGACATGCACATTTAAGATGTGAATTAAGATGGGCTGCAGTAAATATATCCCCACAGATTTACTTGTCAGTGACCATAACCGGTTTGGCATGTCCCCTGGGGGCTGACACACTGTATATCTTTATTCATGAGCGGGAGTTACGGAAGATCATTATGACCAGGTGTTAAAAGTTATTTTTTTAACTTTGAAGAATGAATCGGCCATGGCGACTCTAGATACTTGGGAACACCTTCAACCTTTCGAGTAGACTTGGTTTAGCTGGGTCCTAGCTGCAAGGTTATAGACTGATTTTATCAAAACCTATCACTACATAGCGCGCATTTGGCTATAGTTTATGTATCTGATATACCTATACCAGACTGGGTGTCATGATAGGTATTTGGGCTTCCTATAGTGTCAATTTGTTGCCACATTTCTCTTTCACTTAATAATAATGAGAATAACAAAATTTGTCAAATTTTCTAATGAAAACTTTCATTAGAAACAAAGAAAAGAGCGTTGAATGCTATGTAATATCAACCTTCCTATATGACAGTGAATTTTGGAAAATATCCTCACAAATGAGAAAACTGAAGGCAACAGAGATGTGATTCTACAGAAGGATGCTGAGAATACCATGGATGGAAACAACGAAGAAGTCTTAAGGTTTGGTTTGGTTTTGTTTGGTTTGTTTTACAGCCTATCAACTTCAATGAGTTATTTAATGCCGACAAGATTTTTATTGCTGGTAATTTTTTTTTTCAATAATGTATTGCTGGTAATATTTTTTCTTCAAAAATTTATTGTTGGTAATAAATTTTTACAAAGTATTTCTGGTATTAAAAACTATTTTTTCACTTTCATAGTGTTTTGATCCCAATTTGGGGGTTAACCATTTTCCCATAGCTGGGACCCTAACAGGTGCTACCACCCCGGGTCAGGATGGATCTGGGAACACCAGCAATTAAGAGGTGGTCTCACACTCCTCAAAACCTGATCAAAGGACTTGCTGTTGGATGTAGTTTATCGTCTTAGCCAGGACACGAAGAAGTCTTAAGGAAAATAGGGAAAAAAGACGCTCAGAATTGGAAAGAGACGGCTAAAATCTCTTAGACACATAATAAGAAATTGATTGATTGATTCATTCGTCTTATTAACACTTTGCAGGTTATTTAAAGCTAGACAATATTTTTAGAATGTAAGAATTTTTTCAGATAATAATGGATTAGTGATATAATTAACCCATTGCTGGAAGGAGACAAGTTGGATCCACACCTTTGCCAAGGGAAACGTATGGATCCACCTTATGCGTGTAAGTGAATATAATGGCCCCAACGAGTATTGGAACTCGGAAACCCGATTAACAATTCCGAGCCATTATCCATTACACCACCCGCACATTCAGCAGTTGATATTCCCAAGCAGTTACCTATCTAGGTACTGACCTACTCGACATTGCTTAACTTCGGTGATCGTCCCGGAACCAGTGTTTCAACGTGATGTGGCCGTAAGCCATAATAAGAAAGGAGGGTTTGGAGAATTTGAGAGCCACAGTATATATTGAACGCAAACGAGTCAGGGGAGGCATCTGGTTACTTACTAAACCAGCTTGTGTGAATAGATGGCGAGATGTGGGTGGGAGAGAAACCAAAAAAAAAGACAAACAGTACGAAGTGCTACAAAGAATACTAGAGAACCATTATCTCCCATGTTCTGAAGGACCACGGTACATAAAAGAAAGAACGGATGTCGTTATTCCGATTGATCACAAGATAAAATGACGATTGAAAAGTTGGGACAATATTTCTTTTTAGTTGAATATGAAAAAGCCAATTTTACGCATCATTATTAAAATGCTTGGAAGACTCTTGAAGAACCTTGCAATTAGGCTGAAAAAAAATCGGAATCAAATGAAGAACCATCCAGATGACTGTATTATCACAATCACTTAGAATACTGGGGAAAGTCCTGAAGAACTGAGAGGAATCGCTGTCATTTAATCTCTAGCGTTGTCCACCAAAATGTTACTGGTATGATTAATATCATATATTACTGGTATGATTAATATCATATATTACTGGTATCAATTAATATCATATATTACTGATATCAATTAATATCATATCTTACTGGTATCAATTAATATCATATATTACTGGCATCAGTTAATATCATATATTACTGGCATCAATTAATATTATATATTACTGATATCAATTAATATCATATCTTACTGGTATCAATTAATATCATATATTACTGGCATCAGTTAATATCATATATTACTGGTATCAATTAATATCATATATTACTGATATCAATTAATATCATATCTTACTGGTATCAATTAATATCATATATTACTGGTATCAAAACTCAACGAGGGCAAAAATTATGACATCGCCATCAACAATCAAAAGTAAAGATAACACAAGGATAATAATTAGAAAGTGGACTCTGATAGTGATACTCGTCATTATTGATGTACTTGGGACAGTTAGGAAGAACTCTGTAAAAAGGTTGGAAAAACGAGAAACTCCGAGAAGAAATGAAACTGCTCAAAGGATAGATTAGTAAAAGCAGATATAATACTGAAGAAATTTGCTGTCATTTCACCTCTAGTGAAAACTCTTATTTACCATTGGTATAAAACATTAACGAGTTCAAACAACAATATCAACAACAGAAACAACAATATGCAGTGATTATATTGAATTGTTAGGGAAGTCGGTTCATTGTGTGGTGCCAGACAATTCTTCTCGTCCGAATCCCTCTTGCACATTTATAAATCTATCATTTGTCAGTGCATGGATTATTGTTGCCATATCTGGTTTGATTCTCCAACTATATATCTCAAGATTCTTGACAAAATTCAAAGAACAGTCTGCAATGTAAGCAATCCTTACCTGGCATCTCAATTTCAGTCACTTTCTCGCCGACGTGACGTAGCATCCCTCCGTTTTTTCTATTAATATTTCCATTGCAATTGTTCTGAGGTAGAAGGGCCGTAAATAATTCCATCATTTTTTACGGGTATTATGCCGGTAATAATTATGATTAAAGATATTCTTTAAAGTATTAACATTTCAAACTATCATTGACAGTTGATTTGTTGCTTTTGTCTAATGTCATTATAAAAAAAAAACGTCTCAAATTCCCTATTAAATAAATTTTCAATCATTTACGTGTCGACTAAGGATCAGTGGTTATAGGTCGAGGGTTAAAAAGATTAGTAAAGGTCAGATGTGGGTTCATTCGCGATGAAATGATAATCTGCAGTGGGAATAAGGTGTATTAAGAAAATGACAAAGTAAATAAAACTTGGGAAAAATGTTGAAGTAATAGAAACCAAGAGTCAATAAAATACAAACCGTACAAATATGAATTAAAATAATTAATTAAATATGGTAATCTTTTGTAATTATGAAATGAGTTATTTTCATTCCAAGAGTTGTTCGAACTATTGATCCCGTTACATGTGTTGCAGTGGAGTCTGGTCTAATGGATTGATCTCATCAGTGGATTTGTTATCATTTATTTGTCATTGAATAATAATAATAATAATAATAATAATAATAATACTAAGAAGAAGAAGAAGAAGAAGAAGAAGAAGAAGAAAGAAGATAAAGAAGAAAATTACCTACATCTTTCCATATAAACTATAGACCGGAAGAAGGCTCTACAATAAAACGGCCGAAATATTGGTATAATAATAAATAATGAATAAGCAGAAAAACTTTTAGAATTAATGTTTTCCAAAAGGATACTGAAATATTTTTATTTCGGCTCATTTCAGAAATTTGAAAAAAAATGACCAAAAATCATCTAAAAAAAAATTTCTTTTTGATCGGGCTGACAACTTTTCAGTACCCTTTGTGCATGTACATGAATCGACGGTCAACATTAGATAGATAGATAGATAGATAGATAGATAGATAGATAACAGACTGATAGATAATGAAAATATAGATAGATAGATAGATAGATAGATAGATAGATAATATTCCGAAGAAATAAGTAAAATGTGTTTCATTTCGTGTCCAATATATATATATATATATATATATATATATATGTGTGTGTGTGTGTGTGTGTGTGTGTGTATTTAGGCAGCAATCCTTCTTTCATGCACATTTCATTGAATACGACAGACAAGGTGCTTTGATTTAGTTTTTTATACAATTTCTCATGTGAACTAGTAATTATTTTTTTTTCAGATGATAAATTATATAAAAACTGTTTCATTGTTTTTTTCTCCGAGCGCTAGCGGCTATACATTTAGCCATTTTCAAAGTTGAAATACATTAACTGTTAACAAAAAATAGTTTGTTGTATGTATGTATTTATATAATGTTTTCATTTTCAAAACACGGTCAAGATATTGTGTCCATGTTCATAGTTGATATTATTGAGTGTTTTTTTTTTGTTTTTATTAATAAGGCTTCTATTATTTTTATCCTTTTTTTGCATGAATATAATATTTGTCTGTCGTATTCAATGAAATGTGCATATATATATATATATGTATTGTATTTGGGCAGCAATCCCTCTTTTCTACAAGTTTCATTAATAATGACTGAAAACTACTGCGTTTACTTGCCTTGTTGGCTGCCGGGTATATATATACACAATTCAGAATATATCCAATATATATATATATTAACTATAATTTATACACACATAACATAATTATATCATATATACACACTCAACTCACGCAATTACAAATACATACATATAGATACACATCCATACTTAAAAGAAATTACAATATATAGAAATATTCAAAATTACATATCATAAGCAAAATAACATAAGCATACATACAAGCAAATAGGAATACACATATCCATACTAGTAATTACACATTCATCTAAATGTGACCGTAAAGAAAATCTAAATAAAAGTATATGAATATATATTTAAAAAATAATAAAATAAATATGAGGACAGATGTCAAGTGCTGAAATTTATCTTGTTCAATATTTTTCAAGAGATATTAAGATTTTTGTTTCCATATGACCATTAATTCACTTCTTTTGGTTAGTAAATTTGGGTTATTTAATTTTTTTAGAATGGTCAATTTTTCCCGAAGGCAAAAATTACACCATTCGCCTTGACCATTGTAAGATTTAATTCTTGCTATAATTTCCCCACGTAATTTCTGGTGCGATTCCATTATCTTTTATTATATAAGATATTATATTTTATATATACCTTATTATATGAGATATTATATGTTATATATATATATATATGTTATATAAGATATTATATCTTAAATTGATAAGATATTATATGTTATATATATCTTATGATATATGATATTATACCTTATTTATACCTTATGATATATCATACTTATTATAAAATCCAGGTTGTGTGTGTGTCTGTACGTTTATATATTGGATCGGATTTCCTACATTTTTCAACCGATTTCAACAAAACTTCACAGGACTACGTAAAATTACGTGGCAGTGGTTCTGACAGCGCCAAAATGTGGAAAAACACAAGTGTTTTTGCACGAAATCAATTTGAAAACACGATTAAGATGCATCGCGAGAATGAAATGGGGACAACTCATATCGAGTTATACTTATTATACAACCCAGGTTGTGTGTGTGTGTGTGTGTGTGTGTGTGTGTGTGTGTGTTCGTTTATATATGGGATCGGACTTCCTACATTTTTCAACCGATTTCAATAAAACTTCACTTTTTTTTTGGCAGGTAGCGTTTCTTATTGTCTTGCACACTTTTTTCTTTATTTTTACATTCAGAATGCTTTAAAAATTTTATTTACAAGACAATTGTTTATAATAAAATTCTATTCAATCGGTAGACTCAAAACGATTGAAAATAATGTTTTTGTTTGAGTTTGGGTTTGGCCAATTCGTAAAAAACAAAAAAAAAACTAATTAAGACATGCGTGTCTGTCAACCTTAAACAATAATCTTTGTCAATTTTATTTTTCAGTCTTTATGATGGTCGATACTTGATCTATCTCTTACTGTTACATCCCCGGGCCACGCCGGACTCTCCTGCTAGTACCTTATATATATTACATATATCATATTATATAAGATATTATATCTTAAATGTATCTTATGATTTAACATATATCTTATTATATAAGATATATATTATTATATATATATATTATAATATTATATCTTATGATACAAGATATTATATCTTATATATATATACAATATTATATCTTATATATATATTATAATTAACGATTAGCGACGTTTAAAAAATCTGTTGGAAACTACAACTTTTAAAGGATAAGGTGTGTTACTCGAAGTTCAGAGTTGTCCAGTTGCTTTTAGAATTCACATTATTAACTATTTTTATGCAATCTGATCCATTTTTAACATCGTTAAATAAACGGAATAAAATATAAAGAAAATCATAACGGAAGAACGGAGTATAAAACACCTCACACCAGAAGAATATAACATAAATGGTGGAGTTTAAAATGTGTTTTGTTCTCTTTTATATACAATTTAAATTAGTTTTCAGCGCCTATTGACACACGAAAGATCAAATATTAACATTAATTATATCCACAGATAAAAATTTTAAAAATATCTGCTATTTTGTTTTTAGAAGCTTGAACCTTGGACTGGCTACGGGTGAGTTAGTTTTTACTCTTTTGGACCAAATAAAGGTGCCACCTGGAATAGTCATGTCAGTTCAAATAAACGTTCAATCAGGAATTTTTATATAAGCCTAATAGACAGGAAACAAAATAAACGTGCCGTGGAGAAAATTATTAGAAGAATATGAACAGCGACGGTGGGAAAATAGAAGGAAATAATTTAATCTTGTATTTGGTACACACGAATACTTCGCATAAAGACATGCATTTATAGTTTAACATATTGTATTTTAATGTAAACGTTAAAATAAATAATTTAATTTCTTTATATTTATTCAGTTGTTAGTTAAGGAGTCGATTTGGTATTCTTAATTTGGTATTTTTTGAAGATAAAAAAAACGTTTGTTAACTGATTGAAAGAAAGTGGGGTACAAACTGGTAACATTCACAAAGAAACGATTTTCATGAAAAAAAAAAACGATTAAATCTTAGATTTTTATTTCAATATTTCAGTTTATTGATTTTTAAACAATAAACATTTTTTAATTATTTCACTACAAGCAAGGCAATAAAACCACTAAGACACAAGAGTGTTAGAGAATATGAGAAAAGAAAAACACTATTCAGGGGAGATAATTATTAAGGCAGAAGATAACGATTGACATTGCATTTAAACTTGTGATCAAAGTTGGCTGGAAAGCAAGAAACTGGAACAGAGCTCTATAAACTTACATAAATTAAACACCAAAATTCTGGATTACTATGATTTTCCTGTCTTTTACCAGAAGGCGGTCATGTCACAAAAAAAAAAAAAAAATCCAGCAATGTCTAATCTTCGTGCCAGCAAAAGGACGGTGTGTCAAGAGAACGGTTATTTCCTTGACACCGCTATTATTGTATACACTTTTGTCTCCCGCGTCAATGACTTTTTTTTAAATTTTAGAATTTTAATAAAATCCAAACGTATAAAAAAAGATTTATACGTTTTTTTTTTATTTCTGAGAATCAGCAATAAACATATTAAACACTAATTTATATATTTATTAAATTTAATAAAATAAGAATTATTTTTATAATGGCAAATAATAAATATTGCATTGTTTGTAGTTGGTTTACATATTTTGATAATTTTGCAATTTTATTTTATAAATTTTTTAACAAAAAGATTCGCTTTCAAATTTACTGCTTTATAAAATGGTAAATAAATCTTTATAAAAGGTAAATAATAAATATCGTATTGTACTTAGTTAACGTATTAGTGTAAGCTTGTATAATAAATATTCCCGAGGGAGTCAAAAGTGTATGCAGTAATAATAGCGGTGTCAAGGGAATAACCGTCCTTTTGACACACCGTTGTTTTGTGCGGGCACGAAGGTTAAACATGGACAAAAAAATCTTACAAAATTTCCTTGTCTGTCATATTCAGCGAATTATGTATCAAAAAGATTTGCTGCTCAAATATATACATATATATATATATATATATATATATATATATATATATATATATATATATATATATATATATATATATGCATATATATATATATATATATATATATATATATATATATACATTGCATACATATATATATATATATATATATATATATATTGCATATATATTGCATATATATATTGCATATATATATATATATATATATATACTGCATATATATTTATATATATTGTATATATATATATTGCATATATATATTGCATATATATATATATATATTGTATATATATATATATATTGCATATATATATATATTGCATATATATATATTGTATATATATATATTGCATATATATATATATATATATATATATATATTGTATATATATATATATATATATATATATATATATATATATATATATATATATATATATATATATATATATATATATATATATATATATATATATATATATCGTATAAATTAATTGATTTAAAAGATGTTTTTTTCGCTACACAGTTCTAACCATGTTTCAAAAATGGAAGCTGAATGCTCCGAATTTAATTTTGCAATTAAATTAAAGACATTAGTTCCATTTCATCCTCAAGCGAATTTTGGAGTAACTTTTAAAATTACTGGGTTTTAAAGACACAGCTAAAATCATAATTCACGTTTCCAAGGATATTGTGCAATTTTTTAAAATTTCTTAATTTTATTTTCCTGGTTGAATTTTTTCGGGATATTTTTATTGATATGATATTTGTTCACTTCGAGGAGTTCTTGTTTCAGAGCTAAGCTCTATACGTGCACTGATTCCTGGTGAACCCCACTTTTTTCATTGTCTTCATGTCCCTCTCATACATGATACTGCTGCATTAGACACAGGGTAATTTTTTGGTGAATATTTCTGGAAAAAATATCCATGTCCAATAGGTCGGCAAATATGGTAATTTCTCAAACTAAAATAATATAAATAATAATTACATTATAGAAAAAATCAACAAAAACAATTGAATCAAATACAAATTGGAATCCGACAGAATGATAAGAAAAAAATAGGAATCGTCTATAGATCTAACATGTTTCAAGCTTTCTCAGACAATGAAATATGGAGGAGAAAAAGAAAGAAAATTCTGCTATTTTTAATTATTGCGTTGTTTCTTTTTCATTGGTCAAGCAGACTTCACGTGCATCTGTCTTGTCAACCAGCATTTGTATGTATAATTCACGTGTGTATATGTATCTTAAATCTAGTTTGTTTATGCGAGATTCAGGTGATAATTAATTTTCATTATATTTTTCATATATGCTTTTCTGGAGCAAAACCATTTAGATTATACAGGGTATCCATAAAGTCTCTACAATTTAAAAAAAATTATTACAAAAGCAAATGAACAGACAAATATGTGGAAATTGTTACAAAATGAGGAATAGATATTGAAGTTATTTTTAATTTAATCCACCTCTATATGGGCGCCATTAGTTGTACGAAGCACATCAAGACGATACTTGATTTCTTGCCATGTTCGCTATAGCATAGCCTCATCAATGATTTATCATTTGGTTCGAGTATGAGTTACACTTTGCACTTTGTAAGCATACAGACACAAGTTCTTGTGTAGGACTTTTTGTACTGTCAAATGTGGCAGCTGTAACTTTCTGGCAGAAATACAGATGGACTTTGTAGGAGAACGCTGAAATGCTTGTCTTATACGATCGATGTTTTCTTCAGATGTTCTTGATCGTCCACTCCCCCCCCTTTATCCAACAATATCCCTGTCTCCATAAATTCCTTGTGCCATACACGAATTGACAATAGATCTCTTCTATACTTAGTTCGGTAGTTTCGCTGAGTGCGTATCCGATTTTGTTTCAATAAACAATGACACACATTCTGCCTTTTCTTGAGGAGTAACCATTTTTAGGGGTTCATTTAACAGTACCTCTTTCATCAACAGGATGCCTGAAATACATAAATGCAATGTGATTAAAACTTTGATAACTACTGAGTACATAAAACAAATCTGATTAAAATATCTCATCAATTTCCTTTGTAATATATTTTTTGAATTGTAAAGAGACTTTATGGACATCCTGTATATTTAATATTTTTATTCTTCTTACTTACAAATTCTTTCTTTCTCGTTTGTAATGCTTTTATATAGTAAAATTATTTACAATGCTTTGGTTTAGTGAAATCATTAGCAATGCATTTACATTAGATATATTCTATTTTTTCAATAGCGTTTGCATTAATTCCTAACCACAGACAATTCCTTTTGCCCTTGAAACTCTAAAAATAATAATAGCTAATTTCAAAATTACAGAAAGTGTCAAAAAACAAAATTTATATCGTATAGATTCGAATGGAATACATATCGATTGATTCGTTTTTTGCGGTTTAACAACCCTTTGCAGGTTATTTAAAGCCAGAAAATATTTTTAGATTGTATAAATTTTTGTTTTGAGATAATAATGATTTAGTGATACAAGTCTTACTAATTAACCCATATCTGGGGGGGAGAAGAGGTGGATTCATCTCTTTCCCAAGAGTATTTGCTCGTAAGAAAATATAAGAAACCCAACGGGAATTGGAAATCGGCTCTCTGATTAACAATTCCGAGCCATTATCAATTACACCAGCCGCTCATCCAAGCTTACAGCACCTGGTATTCTCAAGGGGTAACCGTTCTAGGTACTGACTAGGTTCGACGTTGCTTAACTTCGGTGATCATGCGGGAACCGGTGTTTCAACTTAATATGGCCCTATGCCTGAATTCATATTCTGTTCAACTTTGTTTTATATAAATCGTATATTAAACTCATTTTTAGAATTTTTCTTTTGCCTAAATTTTATATTCATTTAAGGCGTAAACGATTATGACTCTCCACAGCTTTCTTTTTATTTAATATATGCAAATTGCTTTGACTGCTGTTGGGAAAGATAGTGTAAGGGTTACCCTTTACCTTCTCTGCGGTTTGTTCTTGTCCTAGACTGATTGCCAGAATTTGAACTCAGCCTGCCGATTCCAATTTTCACGCCAATAACTATTACGCCACCCATACATGAGAGAGGAAACATAATTCCAAAGAAGGTTGTGATAAGCGATAAATAATAACATTAGATATAAATATTAGCAACTAAGAAAATATTTTAATGCTTAAATAGATGAATGAATACGATGCCTTAATTATTTTTTTCTTAGCAAAACAATTAAAAAGTAACTTTTTCTTAAATTATAATTAAATGCGCAAAGTGAAAAATTTCAATGATTATATCAAGACTCAATAAGTAAATACTATTTTCTGTCTCGTAATATTTGTGACAACTATTATAGAATAAAAGTAAAACTAAAAGATTTAGGCGTCTGCAAAATTTTTCAGCGATAAACCAGTTTTTTTTAGCTAACTGTGTATTCATATTCAATCTCTAGTTTTCAAATTAATAGCTGGAAATTTTCCCACAACAACAACAACAAAATAATAATATTATTAATAATAATTATGGTGATGATGATGATAATGATGATGATGCAGCTCCGGACCAAAGCGTCGCAACCAGATGCTATCACAATCACATTATCAAGGATGAAACTAACCCGAAATGGAGGATCTGCGGAAAATATGATGAAACTGTCGACTATATTATTTCAGGATGTCCAGAACTAGCAAAAAATAAATATACTCACAGACATATGTGCACTGGAAGTACAAAATGTGTGTGTGTGTGTGTGTGTGTGTGTGTGTGTGTGTGTGTGTGTGTGTGTGTGTGTGTGTGTGTGTGTGTGTGTGTGTGTGTGTGACTTTTTTTGTAAGTATTTTGTGGGGGGGGGGTGTTTCACTCCCATTTTTCAATATCTAGTGTGTACTTTATAATTTGGGTGGGTGTTCGTGAAATTACTTTAGAGATGTTTAAAAAGAAATCCCTGAACATGTTATTTCAGTAAAAAATCTCCGAATCTTCCCAGAAATAATTCAGTAAAACTCAAAAATTGTTTTTCTGTGAGTTGGTAAGTGCTTACATAATTTAATAAATCATTATTTTCTTTCAGGTTAAACAGAAAATAACTACACTTAATATTGTTTCTTTTTTTTTTAATTACTTCTAATTTTTCAGTACAATTTTAAAATGAATCCCATTGTTATTCGTAAAAGTTTTTTTTTATAAAATAAGGATAAATTGGGAAAATAAAAAATGTAAAGTTTAATGCTATTTTCGAGAGAACCTTTTCTTTTTCTTTTTTTTTTTTTTTTAATAAAATGAATGTTTTTTCATCTTATCTGTTAGATTAGTTTTGGTATGGATGTTCAAAAAGGAAATAATTCTGAATTATTGATAGACTACTTTTTTCTCTATGAGGAGTAATATGATAATTCAATAACTCTAAAATCCAGTATAATTTTAAAAGACCACATTGGGTACAATTAAATATTTTATAACAATTAGATATTTTATGAGGTAAGAAAATAAAAAAAATAAAAACAATGTATGAAACTCAATAATATAATTTAAGTAAAAAAAGACTACTTCTAATGTAATATAAAAAATAAAACTATTAATTCTACTAAGTTTCATAAAATGCGTATATAGAGTAAACAATTATATTCTTAAACTTTGGTTATATAAGGTTAAAGGTTTTTTTAAATATAAATACCAATTTTTTATTATTGCACTGTTAGTGTCCCGTATTTCTTTAATTTTTTATTTTTGGCGCGCTTGAAATTATACTTCTTTTTTTAAATCTCTGACCCCACATGCTACTGTGCGGGAATAAACATTATTCTCATTAAGTTTTAAGCAAATAGTAAACATTACTTTTAAAAAATCAAGTTAATTAATTCTTAAATTTACTAAGTGACTTCGAAATACATCTCTCGGGCAAATATTGCACTGATAAGAGATTTCTAAATTTGTTGTTTTCATTTTTCGTCTATAATGGTGGTTCGATGAGTGACAAGTGAACGTACCAATGTTTTAAAAATGCCTAAAAAAACTTCATTTATATACGAAAATTAATATTCTTTTAATACGGATTAGCTTTATGATATTAACTTTCAAAATAAAACCAAAGTTTATGTTAAAAATGGCCTTTAAATTGCGTTTTTTTTGTTTTGTTTTTTTAATGTTTTTTAAGATGTCCGCTGCAGTAACTAGGGTAAATAGTTCATAAAACAATCCCTGTCCTATTTAACGTCTTTTTATGCATGATTATCTCTCCTGGTCCCCGCGACACAGAGACTTTATTATTTATTTTCCTTAAATAACATTTAAATTAAATAATCATTGTTTTTATATAGTCTAGACTTTTAGAAAAAGGTAATAAATCTATACCCAGTTTTCATTTTCTTTTAATCTAACATACTTTCCGTCTAGTTGTGATGAAGGATTCCCTCTTAAGAATCAAATAAAATATTTCTTTAAACTTTTACAAAAATTGTTTTTACAGTGTATATTTTGTTCTCGCTTAGATTCTTGACCTATCTGTGATCAAGGTCGGAAAATTACTTCTTAAAAAAGAGTCATGTCAATCAAATTGGTATCTCCAACAAAAATCTTCTTGTCGAAAATATCAATTAAATTTAAAAAATAAATTCTTACAATGTTTTTTGTTTTTTTTTTGTTTTTTTTTACTTTCACAACAAACATAAGAGCCCATATTTGTGTCTTCCAAAGAAAAACAGCACTTTTAATTAGTAAAGATTGACTTAAACAGTTACGAAGTCAACATTTTCCCTTGAATCGACAAAAATCACAATGGCTGTTATCTGATTAACTTAACGGAAACTCGATATTAAACAAATAAAAATAAAAATCTAGTAAAAATAAAAATAATGTGAAGACATTTTATGGGTAATAGGCACTTTGATCTTCACTCGATTTAACAACACCAAAACTTGCCTAATTTTATTTTTAAAAAAACACTAGAAATTTTATAACGATGACTGACGAACAACGACACATTCGTATTGACAGAGCCAGACCAAATAGCCTCCGTTTATAAGTATGGTGGCCCGTAATAAAAATCAATATTTTATTTTTTTTAAACTAATTATTTTTCTGTTTCTTATTTTAATTCACTTTTAAATATAACAATCTTTATTTTTAAAAAAGTTAACTCTGGAACACATTCTGTCGCATAAAATGTTGAATATAAAGAATGTAAGAAAAACTCAAATGAATTAAAATGTATTTGAGTTCTTGGTGAAAATGATTATTATATTTAAAGAAATAAATTTTTCCTCGTGAAAAATTTAGAACTAATTTATTTTCAAAATAAAAAAATCTTATAGCTTATACACAAGTGAAATATTGGAACAATCATAAAAAGAGTTTTACATAGAAAACAAATGCAAAATATTTCAGCTGAAATGCTAAATGATTATTATTCTACGTATCCGTACTTAATAATAATATCACTTCATCAGCTGTATTATATATTTTAAAATTATTTTAAGTATAGTTCTAGAGAATATTTTCGCAATATCTCTGTAAATTTGTTTATTAAAGGCTATCAAACCTTTAAAAATTAAATCCTATACTAGTACACCTTTTGAAAGACAAAAAACATTTTAAAAATATCGCATTATTAAATCGATAATTTTTAAAATTACAAAACATTCCCTAAAAAAATCCCCCGACAAATTAATTTTTTTTTCTGTTATAGCGACAATAGACCTAGAATATAAATTAAAAATAAAATATGTTAAAAAAAGGGGTACTATTTTTTTTTTATTTAAAAAATTTAAGACTAAAAAAAAGCATCCGTATCGACTTTTCTTTTTGTTCTCGATTTTTTTTTCAGTATTTATTTTTTTTCAAGGATTTAAGCTTTAAAAAGGGAAAACCTCAATATAATTCGCCTCGATACACAACTAAAAATCATCAAATTAAAATGGCGGATGCAATCGCGCGAAAAAAATCTTTCTCTAAAATTTTGAAGAAAGACTGCATTTTAATAATAAGAATTTCGGAAGATTTTTTTTTTTTAAATCGACGTGTTTTTACGACCCCTTAAAAAGTCATGATATTTGTACAGTGACAATGTTTACACAAAGCAAACAACGTTTTTAAATGAAAATATTTCCGATTCTATTTAAAATCTAGAAATTATATTTTCCTTCCTTTCAGCTTTCGATTAGTTGAAAGAACGGCTATAAAATTGTTTTATACATTTCTCATAGCATTTTTTTTTCTTTTTACTCAAGTGTTCAATTATCCACCATTAAAATTGGTGATACCTATCGGTTAAATAATTTTAAAAACATAAAAATAAAGAAAACTCCAAAAAGCATGACGGGATTAATTAAACATTTTAGTGTTTGATTTCATCTAATTGATTTGAAACTCAAACAAATGTGTCTCTTTAAGTCTGAAGCAATAAATCAAGCATTGTTCAGTTCTTGACTAATGCAATTCTTATACAAATATTATTTAAATACTTAAAAATAACAACTGAAAAATGAGTTCACGTTTGAAGAGACCAGTTCTCCTTCACAGTGTCAATGTACATACACACACTTAAAATATAATTTTAAGGTATGTTATATTTATGAGTTAAAGTGCTCAATATCAGGGATAGAGCGTATGTAAATATAAGAGTGTATACTGAAGTCAACACTCAGAGGCGACGGTCTGTTTCATGCTTAAACGCAATTTACACTCTTATATATATATATATATATATATATATATATATATATATATATATATATGTGAGAAGTTGAATGAGAAAAAAACAGAAAGGAAAATATGTAAAAGGAAATTTAA